GTAGGTAGGTAGGTAGGTAGGTAGGTAGGTAGGTAGGTAGGTAGGTAGGTAGGTAGGTAGGTAGGTAGTAGTAGTAGTAGTAGGAGTAGGAGTAGGAGTAGGAGTAGGAGTAGGAGTAGGAGTAGGAGTAGGAGTAGGAGTAGGGGTAGGGGTAGGGGTAGGAGTAGGAGTAGGAGTAGGAGTAGGAGTAGGAGTAGGAGTAGGAGTAGTAGGAGGAGTAGTAGTAGTAGTAGTTGTTGTTGTAGTAGAAGCAGTAGTAGTAGTAGGGGGGGCCGGCGGGCAGGACGGCGCAAAAATGCCCTGCATTGCTTGGTCATGAAACAAAAATTACCACGCTTATATGGAATTACTGTGTGGGATCTACGGCCGCTGCTTTCTTGCTGTTGGGGATATTCTTTGGGTTTATTTTTTTTTTTTACGGGCACGAAGGGTTTTTACGCCTCTACGAGGTAGCTCAAATAAGATCTCCAAAAGCGGAATGACAGGGTTTTGGGATGTTTTGGGCACTGTTCGAATGTGGTTGGGACATGCTTTGGAATGCTGCTAGTCTAGTTCTGGGTCTTTGAGTTCAGAATTGAAGAGGTATACGTGCACGGTCGTAAAGCTGAATGGCAAAGCAGGCACGGAGCCGCTTCGGAAGCTGCTGCGGAGCATTTTGATCATTTGAGGCTTGTAAGGCCGGCCGACAACGTGCGACATAGCAGTTTCGAAGCCCAATAGAAACAGCTTGTGTGGCCTAGGGAGGGAGGTACCATGTCCAAGCAAGCGGCACGCCTTCGAAAGCTGCTGCGGAGGGTTGTGAGGTTCTAAGGCCTTCGAAAGCTGCTGCGGAGGTTTTGAGGCTTTCAAGGCCTGCCCAAAATGTGCCACATAGCAGTTTCGAAGCCCAATAGAAACAGCTTGTGGGGCCTAGGGAGGTACCACGGCCAAGCAAGCGGGACGCCTTCGAAAGCTGCTGCGGAGGGTTGTGAGGTTCTAAGGCCTTGGAAAGCTGCTGCAGAGGTTTTGAGGCTTTTAAGGCTTGCCCAAAACGTGTCACATAGCAGTTTCGAAGCCCAATAGAAACAGCTTGTGGGGCCTAGGGAGGTACCATGGCCAAGCAAGCGGCACGCCTTCGAAAGCTGCTGCGGAGGGTTGTGAGGTTCTAAGGCTTTCGAAAGCTGCTGCGGAGGTTTTGAGGCTTTCAAGGCCTGCCCAAAACGTGCCACATAGCAGTTTCGAAGCCCAATAGAAACAGCTTGTGGGGCCTAGGGAGGTACCACGGCCAAGCAAGCGGGACGCCTTCGAAAGCTGCTGCGGAGGGTTGTGAGGTTCTAAGGCCTTCGAAAGCTGCTGCAGAGGTTTTGAGGCTTTTAAGGCCTGCCCAAAACGTGCCACATAGCAGTTTCGAAGCCCAATAGAAACAGCTTGTGAGGCCTAGGGAGGTACCATGGCCAAGCAAGCGGCACGCCTTCGAAAGGTGCTGCGGAGGGTTGACTAGTTCTAGGCCTTCGAAAAGCTGCTGCCGGGGGAGTTGCTGAGAGCTTTCAAGGATCTGCCCAAACGTGCCCACAATAAGCAAGTTTTCGAAGCCCCAGAGAAGAAAAAGCTTGATGGGCCTAAGGGGAAGGAGGTACCATGTCCAAGCAAGCGGCACGCCTTCGAAAGCTGCTGCGGAGGGTTGCGACGTTCTAAGGCCTTCGAAAGCTGCTGCGGAGGTTTGAGGCTTTTGAGGCCTGCCCAAAACGTGCCACATACTAGCAGTTTCGAAGCCCAATAGAAACAGCTTGTGGGGCCTAGGGAGGTATCATGGCCAAGCAAGCGGCACGCCTTCGAAAGCTGCTGCGGAGGGTTGTGAGGTTCTAAGGCTTTCGAAAGCTGCTGCGGAGGTTTTGAAGCTTTTAAGGCCTGCCCAAAACGTGCCACATAGCAGTTTCGAAGCCCAATAGAAACAGCTTGTGGGGCCTAGGGAGGTACCATGGCCAAGCAAGCGGCACGCCTTCGAAAGCTGCTGCGGAGGGTTGTGAGGTTCTAAGGCTTTCGAAAGCTGCTGCGGAGGTTTTGAGGCTTTCAAGGCCTGCCCAAAACGTGCCACATAGCAGTTTCGAAGCCCAATAGAAACAGCTTGTGGGGCCTAGGGAGGTACCATGGCCAAGCAAGCGGCACGCCTTCGAAAGCTGCTGCGGAGGCTTGTGAGGTTCTAAGGCCTTGGAAAGCTGCTGCGGAGGTTTTGAGGCTTTTAAGGCTTGCCTAAAACGTGCCACATAGCAGTTTCGAAGCCCAATAGAAACAGCTTGTGGGGCCTAGGGAGGTACCATGTCCAAGCAAGCGGCACGCCTTCGAAAGCTGCTGCGGAGGGTTGCGACGTTCTAAGGCCTTCGAAAGCTGCTGCGGAGGTTTTGAGGCTTTTAAGGCCTGCCCAAAACGTGCCACATAGCAGTTTCGAAGCCCAAGAGAAACAGCTTGTGGGGCCTAGGGTGGTACCACGGCCAAGCAAGCGGCACGCCTTCGAAAGCTGCTGCGGAGGGTTGTGAGGTTCTAAGGCTTTCGAAAGCTGCTGCGGAGGTTTTGAAGCTTTTAAGGCCTGCCCAAAACGTGCCACATAGCAGTTTCGAAGCCCAATAGAAACAGCTTGTGGGGCCTAGGGAGGTACCATGGCCAAGCAAGCGGCACGCCTTCGAAAGCTGCTGCGGAGGGTTGTGACGTTCTAAGGCCTTCGAAAGCTGCTGCGGAAGTTTTGAGGCTTTACCATGGCCAAGCAAGCGGCACGCCTTCGAAAGCTGCTGCGGAGGGTTGTGAGGTTCTAAGGCCTTCGAAAGCTGCTGCGGAGGTTTTGAAGCTTTCAAGGCCTGCCCAAAACGTGCCACATAGCAGTTTCGAAGCCCAATAGAAACAGCTTGTGGGGCCTATGGAGGTACCATGGCCAAGCAAGCGGTACGCCTTCGAAAGCTGCTGCGGAGGGTTGTGAGGCTCTAAGGCCTTGGAAAGCTGCTGCAGAGGTTTTGAGGCTTTTAAGGCTTGCCCAAAACGTGTCACATAGCAGTTTCGAAGCCCAATAGAAACAGCTTGTGGGGCCTAGGGAGGTACCATGTCCAAGCAAGCGGCACGCCTTCGAAAGCTGCTGCGGAGGTTTTGAGGCTTTTGAGGCCTGCCCAAAACGTGCCACATAGCAGTTTCGAAGCCCAAGAGAAACAGCTTGTGGTGCCTAGGGAGGTACCATGGCCAAGCAAGCGGCACGCCTTCGAAAGCTGCTGCGGAGGGTTGTGAGGTTCTAAGGCTTCTAAGGCCTTCGAAAGCTGCTGCGGAGGTTTTGAGGCTTTTAAGGCCTGCCCAAAACGTGCCACATAGCACAGTTTCGAAGCCCAATAGAAACAGCTTGTGGGGCCTAGGGAGGTACCATGGCCAAGCAAGCGGCACGCCTTCGAAAGCTGCTGCGGAGGGTTGTGACGTTCTAAGGCCTTCGAAAGCTGCTGCGGAGGTTTTGAGGCTTTACCATGGCCAAGCAAGCGGCACGCCTTCGAAAGCTGCTGCGGAGGGTTGTGAGGTTATAAGGCCTTCGAAAGCTGCTGCGGAGGTTTTGAGGCTTTCAAGGCCTGCCCAAAACGTGCCACATAGCAGTTTCGAAGCCCAAGAGAAACAGCTTGTGGGGCCCAGGGAGGCACCATGGCCAAGCAAGCGGCAGGGGCTTTTGAGGCCTGCCCAAGACAGCAGTTGTGAAGCCCAATAGAAACAGCTTGTGGAGCCTAGGGAGGCACCATGGCCAAGCAAGCGGCACGCCTTGGAAAGCTCTGCCTTCGAAAGCTGCTGCGGAGGTTTTGAGGCTTTCAAGGCCTGCCCAAAACGTGCCACATAGCAGTTTCGAAGCCCAAGAGAAACAGCTTGTGGGGCCCTAGGGAGGCACCATGGCCAAGCAAGCGGCAGGGGCTTTTGAGGCCTGCCCAAGACGTGCCACACAGCAGTTGTGAAGCCCAATAGAAACAGCTTGTGGAGCCTAGGGAGGCACCATGGCCAAGCAAGCGGCACGCCTTGGAAAGCTCTGCCTTCGAAAGCTGCTGCGGAGGTTTTGAGGCTTTTGAGGCCTGCCCAAAACGTGCCACATAGCAGTTTCGAAGCCCAAGAGAAACAGCTTGTGGGGCCCTAGGGAGGCACCATGGCCAAGCAAGCGGCACGCTTATGAGAATATCGGCCAGCCACAGACTGAAATCAGCAAAATATTTTTTTTACCATTCCTGGCCCCATTTCTCCAACCATTCTTTTTGCTGTTTCAATTCCTGGGTCATTCCTAGCACCATTTTTTAAACCATTTCTTTCGCGGCCCCATTTCTCCAACCATTCCTTTTGCTGTTTCAATTCCTGGGTCATTCCTGGTCCTATTGTTCCAACCACTCTTGTTGCTGTTTCAAGTCCTGGTTCATTTCTTCCTACCTTTTAAGTTGTTTGTATTTGTGTACCTGTGTACCTGGTGCATGTCATTGTCTTCATTGTTACTACTGAGCTACTGCTGGGTGCCTTTGTTTGCTGCATTGCTGTAAGCCGATTGGCCCAATTGCTTGCCTTTCCTTGCCGCGATGCTGCTGATGGGCTTTACAAATAGTATAAAGTATGTACATGCAACATTGTCAAATCAACAATGCACAGCGAGCGCCGAATCCAAAAATGACCCAGCAGGCGGAAGGGAACGTATGAAGTCTGAGGAGCCATCATGAACCCAGTGGACCAGGTAAACCAAGTAAGGTCAACAGGCCCGGTAAGCACTTGGAATGGTTTTGGAAAAATGGTTGGAAAAATGGTAATGGTAGGAAAAATGGTTGGAAAAATTGTTGGAAACATGGTTGGAAAAATGGTAGTGGTTGGAAAAACGGTTGGAAAAATAAAAAGTCTGGAAAAATAGTTGGACAAACGGTTGGAAGAACGGTTGGAAAAACGGTTGGAAAAACGATTGGAAAAACGGTTGGAAAAACGGTTGGAATTCGGTTGGGAAAACGGATGGAAAAACGGTTGGACAAATGGTTATTTCTCGAGACGTCCTCCAATTTTGGTGGTTTTGTGTAACCCTCCCGGGCATTTTTCCAACCATTTTTCCCTACATTTCTATTTTTCAACAATTTTGCAACCACTTCCATTGATTCACTATTTGTGGCGTCTTTTCCTGGATGCCCATTCTATTGACCGTTGACAGAAGGAATGACTGGCTACAGTGGAGTGTTTCTAAGACATAGGACTGGGATAGTTAGAAAACTTGTCTACCTCAGGGTCGCAGATAGGATGACCATCCAGAATATGATTCCAGGATAGCAGGTGGCATGGCTACAGAAAGACTGGTGGCTTGAGAAAAAAATCGTCAAATGATTACAATAGAGGTGCTTCCAGAACAGGAAACAGAATGTTTAAAAGAACAGAGGTGCTTCCAGAACAGGAAACAGAATGTTTAAAAGAACAGAGGTGCTTCCAGAACAGGAGGCAGAATGTTTAAGAGAACAGAGGTGCTTCCAGAATAGGAAACAGAACGGTTACAAGAACAGGGGTGCTTCCAGAATAGGCAACAGAACGGTTACAAGAACAGGGGTGCTTCCAGAATAGGAAACAGAACGGTTACAAGAACAGGGGTGCTTCCAGAATAGGAAACAGAACGGTTACAAGAACAGGGGTGCTTCCAGAATAGGAAACAGAACGGTTACAAGAACAGGGGTGCTTCCAGAATAGGCAACAGAACGGTTACAAGAACAGGGGTGCTTCCAGAATAGGAAACAGAACGGTTACAAGAACAGGGGTGCTTCCAGAATAGGAAACAGAACGGTTACAAGAACAGGGGTGCTTACAGAATAGGAAACAGAACGGTTACAAGAACAGGGGTGCTTCCAGAATAGGAAAAATAATGGTTACAAGAATGATGCAGCAAATGGTTAAAAAAATATTTTGTCATACAAACCCTGTAGCTGCAATATTCTTATAACGGCACGCCTTCGAAAGCTGCTGCGGAGGTTTTGAGGTTTTGAAGCCAAAGCCGGCACAAGGCCATGCCGCACACCTACGGTGATCCCGGGCGCCGCCCTGCCTAGGCCAAGGCTCGGCAGGGGTCGGCGGATTATCATTTTTCCTATGAAAGATGGCTATAGTTGGCTGAATCCACTAAGCACAGCCCATAAGAGGCATGTGCCAATCTCACTTTTGCAACCTGCCGCCCGAAGGGGCAGCAAAATTTACATTGGATAAAATAGATGCAGGACCAGCAAGAGTTTCTTGATTCACCGGCACAAAGTGTTTGCAGACATTCTTTATGCAAACAAACAATTGGAGCACTTGGTTGAAAAGGTTTGCGGGTTCAAACTTTCCAGGAGTCTCTGCGTTTGGTCGTTGAGCGGACGGAAGACATAGAACGCCTGCTCGGGCGGAAGGGTCGAGGTGGGGTGGCGGCCTTGTGATGTTCGCCTATTGATCTTCTTTTTTTTTTGGTGGGATGGAGTTTCAGAGCTCTGAAAATAGACAATTTAAGATAATTTAAGTGGATAGGGCAAGTGTCCAATTTCAAACGAAGAATTCAAAACCTGCAGCTTTGCAGGGAAAGAGTGAAGCACTTCCACTTCAGACCGATTTATGGAACTCAGGTTGAAGTTTTTTTTTCTCTGCCTGCCTTCAGACAGCGACAGATGGGCCCTGCAGCGCAGGAGCAGTCTCAACGACCAGCTCAGTTGCTGGCGCTGAAATATCCAGGATGGGTCCTTTTTTAAGGACCTGGATGGTTTAGTACGTGCCAACATTATCTTGGATAAGAGGCAATAAGAGGTCTCCAATTCTTGTGGCCTCACCAAAAATACAGATGATGGCCGTGTCACATGCTGAAGAGTCGAATGGATCCAGCCGCATGGGCCAAGGGATGATGTGATGCTCTTGGGATGTGGTGATTACTAGTGACTAGTGATTACCATGAACATTATGTGAATTACTATGGATTGGTACGTTGGGAGGTGGCGAACTAGCCGAAAGATCCTTAAAGTGTCTAGTGACTGAATAGGATGTGAATCAGGATGGCAGGATGGCGGTGAAGTCTTGTCAGTCACAGCGCGACAGTGGCCACTTTATGGCCATCAGGATTTTGGAATCTGAAACATCAATGCTTGTCTGAAACATCACCTTGTATCGCCACGAATTTCGACATGCAGCTTTGGTCCCAACCGCCACTGGCAGGAGCTGGTAGAGATGGCCATTCAGAAGATGACTGCCTGGCAAAGTTACAGGTGCACCGGTTGAGCCCAGAGCCACGAACGCAACTGGTTGGTGAAATGTTGGTTATACCCTGAGTTTTTCAGGGATGAAATTTGACAAATGCTGAAATCATCGTGAAAGTGGAAAAAATGGATCCAATCTTTGAAGACGCTCTACACGGGGCCTGCAGACGGATTTTCTTATGGCCAATCGTTTGAACTGTGGGGAGACATGCTCCCAGATCATTGCCTGACATATTCTCCATACAATCCCCTAATTCTTCCCGCAGTTCCACCAAAATTCCTATACACCCAATTCAGTGGATCTATGATAACATGAGGAGTCGTATCCAAATCCCCCCAAGACTGCAGGATCCAATCTTCATTTTTGGGTCTAAAAGGAGGTACATGCAGGGCCTTGGGGCCTTGAGCACCACCCAGCCTGTCTCCCTACGCCAGGAAGTGAACGAGAAGCACGAAACTTTGGAAAAGACACTTGCCAAAGAAGAGGATAAACCTGGTGGTAGTTTGATGGCTGCCCTTTCCCCCTATGAAATACCAGCCAACACCCCTGGCGAGTTGCATTGGATCTATTCCCTTTGGGTATCATATGGGGGGCATTTAATTTTTTTGGGGATGGAATTTCTTGAATTTCCTGCGGTAAATGGGGAGAATGCAAAACCAGCCGTGAGAAGCGGGGGAGCACTGCCTCCCCCGAGAATGACCCCCCACTGGGCCTGGTTCAGGTGCCAGCTATTGATGCCATAGGGGGTTTGACTCATGGCCAGAGATGTTTGGTAGGGCGGAAACCCATTGGTTGTAGGCTGTGTTGCTTTTTGTGGATAGGGTTGTTGTGTGCCTTCACGATCCAAGCAAGGTATGGTGATCGGATGTGGTGCTTGGAGTCTGGGGATCAAGGAATGCAACGATGTTTTGATACCTTGAGTTAAATGGTAGACTCTTAGACCACTTCAACTTCTGGACCCCAAAGTGATCGTCATTGATAGTCGAGCCACATGTCTCAAGGTACATGGACGAAGTGACAGGCGTGGAAAGCTGCCAGCATGCTGGCCGTCAGATGCTACAGCTATGATTTGACATGAGATTCGACATATTTCAACATCAGTTGTGCCGCGTAAAGTCCTTGGGAAACAGTTGTGATGGTGGATATTCATGGTGGAATTTGGTAGGATTTCCCACCGAAACCAGTTACTTAGTTACTTCTCATATTTTTGCGGCCGCCAGCGGCACATGGCAGGAATTGGCAGACACAATTTGGAGGCCCGGTGATGCTGGAGAATCAAGCAGACGATATGGGTTTGTCTGAGAGAGTACCCCAAAATCCAGTGGATAATCATCACTAATCACATTTTTTCTCATTTTGCATCTTGGAGATATACCCCTACCCCCTCAGACAAAGCCCAGAATACGTTTCGCTTGGGGTGCGCTTCTTCCGTACCCAGTGCAGAGGCTTCGTTTTGCAGCTGCAGCTGTGATCCCACAGAATAATGCCGGGTAAAAAGCGTCTGGCATTCTGGCAATGGAAAACCATTCCTATTTATATCAAAAATATAATATAAACAAATGATATATATATATATATATTATCTCAATATTTTATATCATTTTATATGCTTATCTACAGAATCTTTCCGATTCTTCTGGATTACCAGAGGCTCTCTGTCGAAGAGAACTCTCTTTCGAAAAACGACTGGAGCACTTGGAAGGGTCAGGGCGCCCCAGCGGTTGAGCCCATGATTCACCAGCTAAGCATGGGTTGGGTCAACATCGAGGCCACAGTTTTGAAGCCATCGTTTCATATCATTTCCTCATCACAGATACAGATTTGTAATATATATATAATATGTAATATTTGCTCATACGCTGGGCTGCAGCGGCTACAGAATGATGTTCCATATTTATCAGCCCTCCAGCTTTGTTGCTCACAGCATGTTAGGCCTCTTGTTGCCTCTAGTTGCTCATGAATTATTTCACTTCTCGTGACTTCTCGTGGGTAAACTATTGTAAACTTCTCTCCTGTTGTTGCACCTGACTACAACTGTTGATCAATTTCCAGTAAACACCGAAACCCTTACCCCAAAAACTCGGTTTCACACAGCTGTTGATCACCCCAAGGGCTTCCAGGAATATCTTTCTGGTGACATTCAGATTTTGATCCTGGCGACCTCGCAGACATGGCACTGAGGATGTTAGAGCAACCGGGAGGCGGAGGAGCCGCGCAGCTCGCAGATCTGCCATTGTGTCAGTTGACTTTGCACGGAGGGATGGTAAGATGCTAAGGTCAGATGGAAACAGCCGGATGACGGAGATATGTGACACTTTACATGAACTTCACATCGATGTTCCTGCAGCCATTTGGGCTGGTTTTCCTGTTTCACTTCCATGACATTCCATGACCATGTCGAGTTCAAGTTCTGAGGCGAGCTCCGAAACTTCGGAGACTGGAACGTCTTCAGGAGATCCATCGGTCCGAAAACCCTGGTGCCGATGGTTGCCCCGATCGTACCTGCTGGTCTTGGTGATCAATGCCACTGCGACCCTTCTGCTGTGGCCTGGTGATGTTCAGTATGTTGATCCCTGTCCACTCAAGTTACGACTCTTCTTCTTTGGGCTGATGCTGTCGAGTTTTGGAGCCGGCTGTGTGGCAGCCTTTCTGGTGAGAAGGGCTGAAGCTTCAGATCATACAAAGTGGGCCTGTGGCTATGCCATTGTCAACTGGATTCAAGCCATGTTGGGTTCGATGGGAATGGAGGAGCCAGGGGGAAGGTACTGCAGGTATGGAGTGATACCAGAAGGAGATACCAGGTATTGGGCACTTGAATTCTGCCGATGGCTGCTGTATCTCGTTGCTTCCTGCTGGATGCAGACGCTCATCGCTTCACGGCTGGATCTCTTGGAGCAATCTTCGACTCGGAACTACTGCAGTAGCTGCTTTCGCAGACTGATGTGGGCCCAAGTCTTTGGGGCAGCAGGGGTTTTGCTTCCCATTGCGTTCTTGGTCTATACGATCATGCGGGGTGGGTACTCTTGGGGTACAGCTTTGACCAGTCTGATCGCAATAGGAGGCATCACATTGCTGTGCAATTGGGCAGCAAGCATAGTGGCCATTTGCTCTTTCCGAAAGTCTTATTCGGAGCTGCGGAGGATTTGTCGCCTGGCAGAAGCGAACGAGGCCTCCATCTCCGCAAGATCTTCCTTGAGACGAGCCCGAAGGTTTGCTGGTCTGCAAGGGTTGGGTGTATCATTTAGCCTCGTGTTCACGCTTCTGCTTGTTCCAGCACGTGTTTGTTCTATGCTTCTGTATCATGAAAGCTATGACGCGTTGACGGTGGTCGTGTTTCTTATTCAAGCTCTTGATGCCCTGGGAGATGCTGTGGCCGTTCTCCTTCTGTCCGGCAGTCACAGGATGGCCAAAGTTGCAAGGAGTCAGGGGAGCCAACGTAGCTGGAAAGTCGAAAAGCCTGAGCATAGGAGAAACCAACAGACTTCACATGAAGATGTGAACTGGACTAGAAAGGTGGAAGAACTCTCAATGCGGGGGATGACTTTGAGGAGCCTCCTGCAGTTCTATCAAGAAAACCTCCCTTCAATGCCAGATTGGAAATATGCGCCCAAGGAGCACAAGACCAGAGATGTGGTCCGAAGAGCGATCATCCCATTGACTAGCAGAGAAGAATGCGCATTCTCAGTTTCAGCTTTCAACAAGGATGGTCCGAAACGGGCACAGGTCATGGTGACCCACAATTGGGGCAACTCGTTCAGCGACCTGCTGGCTGCAGTGCTGTCGGATGCCCTGCAGGAATGCAGTTTCAGCTTGCCAGCAGAACTTCTGCAGGAGGATTGCGCTTTCCTACAGGACCTTCTGGCGAAAATGGGGAGGTTGGATGAGACGTATTGGATCTGTGCGTTTGCTGTGAACCAACACATCAGCATCTGCCACAGCAACCCGTATGACCGGGATCCTTTCACAGATCAACTGCACCCAGTGTGCCAGTGCAACAGCACAAACATCATTGACTCGGATGGCCGAAGTGCTTCGTCAGAGATCAACAAGTTTGATGACATGATGCGTCTTCTTGCCACGACTGCGGGATGCCGACAAGTGATTGCAGTGGACAAACCTCTGGATTTGTTTCGCCGTGCCTGGTGCGTGGCTGAGATTGCGGAAGCCAAACGTTTGCAGATGGACCAGTCATTGAAACTCTGGTCCAAAGCAACGCTGCAAGAACGCGCCCGGACATTGGAAAATTTGGATGTGCGGGACATGCGTGCCTCCTCGGACAAGGACAAGGAACTCATCCTTGGCAAGATTCAGGATGTAGATGATTTCAATGCCAAGCTTCAGGTGCTCATTTTTGATCCAAAATCAGGCCTTGTTGCCACATGGAATGCCATGGATAGCCTGCAGCAGATTGGTGAAGTGGGCCGGCTCATTCGATGGGGCCTGGCAGATGCAGGCAGTGGAAAAGTGTGGAAAGCATGGGACAGCCACAACTGAATCCACTAAGCACAGCCCAGAAGAGGCATGTGCCAATCTCACTTTTGCGATCTGCCACCGGAAAGAGGCAGCAAATTCAGATTGGATAAAATAGATGCATGACCAGCAAGAGTTTCGTGATTTTTTCAACGTGTTGCAGAATCTGACAATCCAAACATATCCAAACAACCAATTGAAGCACGTGCTTGAACTGAAATCCAACCAACATCCATTAGATTATCATAATTTTTCTTAGGAAAAATGGCTACAGATCGACCCATTTTTTGTGGCTTCAAACTTTCAGGAGTACGTCTGGAGGGTCGAGGCAGGTGATGGCCCGGCGCTATCACGGAAACCAACATGTGCCATGGTTCATTCGCAATTTTTGGGTTGGGTAAAGGGAACATCTGCCAGTAACCAGGCTTTTTCCCGGTACACAAAGAGGTTTCCTGTGAATTTTCCCTTGATTCAATTCTGGAACATTTGATCTTCCAATGTTTTTTTTTCACCTTTTGGCATTCAACATTGGTTTTCAATACGTCTAGTGGCATGATCATCTCCCAAGTACCGAGGGGTTAGCAAGTGTGATGACTGATTTTTTCCGGCCAACCTAGGGAGCAGGGCACCTTTTGTTAGCCTGGAACGAGTCGATACTTCACCCCCCGGCCCTGTGCTGGAAGGCGATGTTGACGATGGGAAAAGAAGAGCTCCAAGTTGGTAGCTTAAAGTTCCAGTGCCAGTGACTAGTGTCGGGTGTTGCAGCGACTTTTGCGGACCGTACGGATTTAAGATGTTCCATATTTATCAGCCTTCCAGGTTTGTTGTTCACAGCATGTTGGACCTCGTGTTGCTCATTACTTATTTAACTTTTTGTGGGTAAACTATGGCAAATTTCTTCTCTCCTGTTTTTGCACCTGACTAACTGTTGATCAATTTGCAGCAAGCACGAAAAACCTTATACCGATACCTGAAAACTGTTGATCAACTTCATTCAACTTCCAGTAAACACCAAAAACGTTACCCCAAAACTCGGTTTCACACAGCTGTTGATCACCCCAAGGGCTTCCAGGAATATCTTTCTGGTGACATTCAGATTTTGATCCTGGCGACCTCGCAGACATGGCACTGAGGATGTTGGAGCAGCCGGGAGGCGGAGGAGCCGCGCAGCTCACAGATCTGCCACGGGGTGGCCATGCCCATGGCGTCAGTTGATCCCAGCCGTGATGTCAGTTGACATGGCAGGGATAGTAAATGATAGTAAGATTTTCCAGGTCAGATGGAAACGACAGTACATTGATATCATAGTTCCCACTTTTTTGTTCCCACTACATCCCAACAATTTGGAGCTGGACTGTTCCACTATGTTTCATGATGGAACCTACGTGTCTAACCGGGTTCCAGGAACGGTGGAATCAAACGTCTGAAAGCCACCGGGAGGCCGAAACCGAGGGTCAGCGGGTGAACTCTGTGGATCGAAACTCCAGACCATCTGCTGATAAGACTAACATAGCCATGGAAAACCCCAACCATAAATGGAGGTTTAGTTCGCTGGGAAAATCATCTGTAAATGGGATATTCTATTTTCTGGTTAGTGCTTTGGAACATTTTATTTATTTTTTGGGAATGGAATAATCATCCCAACTGACGAACTCAGAAACTCCATCATGACTTTCAGCGGGGTAGATGCTTTAAGGCACCCGTTTTGTTTGAAAACTTGGACCGTTGGATCAACATTTTTCAGACCTCGGGGAAAACATCTGTATTGGAAAAGCCCAATTTAACGATACATACCCAGTTTGTTTTTGTAGTTTGTTCATGTTTGTTAAACCATGGTTGTATTGTACTAACAGGGATACAATAGTTATGGGGTTGCTTATTAACTCTGGTTCTTGACCCATAAAAACGGGAATGTCTCGAGTATCGTTGGTGTTGCACTACCTGAAATGAATAGACAAATAGAGATTCAAACCCCAGGTTTGGGGTTGAAACATAGATCAAGGTAGGTCTTCCCCCTTGCCAACTTGATGCAAATAGCTGGGTGAAATCTATGAAGTATGGTAGGTAATATCAATAGTTCATTGGAGTTGTAAAGCAACTTACAAGAAGGGGGGGCCACCTTGTATGGTATTTGAATATCCCCATGGATGGTGATGATAATCCTTGAAAAACGGTTGAATATTGGCTGATGATGACCAAAGGTTTTGCGAATGGATGCTAAGGGCATTGAATCCCTCTGCGTTATCCCAGGTATAAACCATTCTGGGCCCAGAATGGTCATGGGTCGCAAACGAGCCGTGATAGCCGTGAAGAAACGTCCAGAAAACGACGCTCAGATGCAGTGCATTGGTGCAAGTTCCTGCTGCCAAGCACATGTTTCATCGGTCCATGCCAACCGACAGTTTTTTTTTTCAGCGCACACCTTTCATGTGTCACCAGGACCATTCTGCAAATCAGTGTGAATGTGTATGATGTGTATGTGTGAACTGCAGCTAAATATGGATGTGTACATGTCTAGAGTGATACATATATACAAACATCTCCAGTGATCCCCAAAAGAATTGCATAGTTCATCATCAGAAAACAAAACACGTATGGTAGTATTGAATATCACAACATGTACCACTACTGCGACATTGAGTATTGAACGCTTATCGTTTCATGTCCTGGGGAATCCCAAATAAAACCAAGCGCAACGGCAGATCCCTCAGATGGCCGGTTGAAAAATCTGATGAAAAACTGTGTTTGAGAGGGGATGTCTCCAACGGTACTAGCCATATCTGAATATTCAGGAAATGAGTCTGATAAACCATGGGAGTATCGGGTAGATCCTGAAAAAAAAAGATACATCCATATCTCACCAGTTTGCTATCATCACTTTCTGGTGCTTTAAGTAATGCTGGCTGAAGCTCAAGTTTCAGGGATCTTTCATGGTGTTTCTACAGGACATTTGTCAGGAACTTTGTCGACATGCAGGAAGCCTCTTAAAACACCGAGAGTCGGTGTGAGCCAAAGAAAAGCGCGGTGACTGCATGGGGGTCGAGCTGGTTGCCCATGTGTTGCCATGAATTGTTGTGGCTACCGTAGCGCCGTAGCCAAGAACAGTTAAAATAATTCAACTGGTTGAAGCATTCGGAAAGGGGAATAGTTTTTGTTTGTCCGAAACTGGCTGGTACTTGAAGAAAGGTTGCGAAAGTGTTTCTCTTTATGTGTTTGCGATTGTTTCACCAGAATGGATTGTCAAGCTACATGTCAGATTGTCCTTGTCGGTGGCTTCACAAAACATTCATGTGACCTTATCATTGATGATAGTTAGTAGGAGAAATCTTACCCAAAGTGCCTTAAATCTGGTTCAGGAAATGTCACAAAATCATAGTTATCCCACATTTGCTTTGCAACATTAGTTTCATCATGAGTGAGCACTTGTATTGTGAAATCTGTTTGAAACTGGAGTATGCCCCCAATTGCCCTCCAAACCACACAATGCGTTAAATATGTCCAATTGTCATCAATTGTCATCAAGATGGGTTTCGTGGAGTGCCAAGCATTCTACATGTTGCAAGTGGGGTGTTGTCTGCGACTCAAAGCCGGTGAGCTGTCCAATGTTTGTTACATGCACATTGTTGGATACCCATGTTTTCTCCCAGACCACACTACCCCACTGATGCAAACCTTTTGTTTGAGTGGAAAGGGGCCCAGTCACCCTTCACAGGTGTGATCGGACGTTTGAAATAAAGTCCCCCAAAAATGGATCAAATATGATCAGCTCACCTGTTTGCTAGTTTATGCCAGCATGGGAGACAAGAATTTCACACCATAGAGTTTCAATGAACGAAAGTGTGACACACCCAATCTTCACAGGCTGTGGCGCCTCCAGCAATGGTCGTTTGCTGTTGCTGTGCCGCCCATGTCGAGTCGAGACTGGGAGGAACTGGGGTGGAGATAAACGGTGACTGGCCGTTTCGTGGAGGGGCCCAGTCTGTGCGAGACTGCTCTTAATGTGCGGAACATCTCCCCACTTTGGAATATTTGGGGAGGAGTTGAAATATGGGTTTGTCTGAAAATAGTGTACCCCTAAACCCAATTGTTAATGATCATTATCCCTATTAAATGGCTATAATTGGGAATATACCCTATTTTCAGACAAACCCATATGGTGATTTCTTTTTCTCGCCTAGTAATGTGGTAAACCCAAGAATTTTGTCCTCAAGTGCAGTTGGTTGGTTAGTATTGGCTTAACCACATTATTGCCAGTTGATGTTCGCACGCTAAATACAGCAGTATTTTTTTTGTCAATGCGCTTGTTTCCCTCTTTGACACGGGCTGATGCACGTACAACATACATGTATACTTGTGTTTATAACTAAGATTCATATGCAGATTCTGCTTATATAGATTACAGATACAACAATGTTGACAGAATATATACATAATATATCATAATATAATGCATATTTAAATATTTAAACTTATCATACATAATTTGATATATATATATGCTATTTGAATATATATATATATATACGTACGTACGTACGTACATGCAGGCAGGCAGGCAGGCAGGCAGGCAGGCAGGCAGGCAGGCAGGCAGGCAGACAGACAGACAGACAGACATACATACATACATACATACATACATACATACATACACACATACACATAATGTATACATATGTATACATATATGTTTTGGAACCATGCAGTCTGGGCTGAATGGCATTCCAAACATTCCCAAAAATCCAGGTGCCCTCTGCAACCTGTGCAGGATGAGGAGGCTTTCCACTCTTTGGCCATGCGGAAGGTCCGACCTGGGGTTGATTTGGCCAGGAAATATGGGGATATCATGGTGATTTTATGGGACAATGATGGGATATCTAACCAACTTGATATCAACAAATGGAGATATAATGGTAACAAAATGGGAATATAGAACGGTGTGTGTATGTATTATATATGACAATTTTTTTTGGGTCTGTCTGAAAATAGTGGATATCCCAAAGTTAAACATTTCGACGGGGACGACA